TTCTCTGTGTAACTCTCGGATGCTCGAGGGAGGGACGAATATCAAAGCAGCACAGCGAAAAGTGGGGCACACTTTTGTAAGATTGCCATGACCTAAGAATCATTAAAACGCGGTGGTGAAAGATCAATTATATACAGTCGAGTTAGTTTGCGAGTTGCAACAAACAAATCGCTTAGACCGTCAAACATACGTCTATTAGTCCAATTGATTCCAAATCTGAGGAATTTTCTAAAGCTCCGAAACCTGCGCAGCACTCCTTGTAATATTTTATATACATTACATGAAATCATTGACCTGTTTCTGCACTCCTAATGCATGAAATATACAATCACATAGTTAGTAGTGTACTCGAAATGCCACTTATTGCAATGTCACAGCTTGGGACTTTACGGGATCAGCATATGTGATTCCAGGGTTGTAGAATCTGATAATGATGGCGAGGATAGAGTTGACTCTGGCACACTGGGTCATCCACGTGTAAGTTAAAGGAGTGCAGATAGCAAAGTTATTACGAGACGATTCCAATTTTTGAGCCATAACACACTGTCCTTCAGACTTTTACATATTGTAGAAAATTCACTCTCAACTCGCTTCTGCTCTCCCATACTTCATCGGAACGTTTAATTTCATGAATTCGCTTTCACTTGGTTCCTTCGTCAGTTAGTTCTGTGATAATATGGTTATTTCGTATGCAGCTCGTTAGCCTCCGTTTCGTTCCAGTGTTTTCGTCACTAATGTAGAATTTAGCGTTGTATATATGTTCCCCATGGGTCATGCTTGCACAAGGCATTAACTGAATAGAGCACATAATAGGTCATGGTACTTTGGGAGGTGAAGTGCTCATGCTTAGCTCCTCGTAAGACACTTCGCAGCACCCGAAGTCTTCCCCGAGGTCGAGTTGATGGCATATTACTGGGCAGAGAATGTGTTACAGATGTACAGAGGGGATGGGGAACCACGTGCATGGCCTAGAAGACAAGATCTACATTGTCAGGCATTTTCAACTTACATCTTGCACTTAATCAGCTAACAAAAGCACCCTAACAGAATGCCCTTCATTTGTCTGTTCGATAAGCATTCAAGCGATCTCGGTGTCCGTGACACTCTCGAAGCACCTCCTTTACCATTAACAATGAACCGGGGTGGAAGGGTAAGAAACATGAATGGGCACATTTGGTATTTGAAGTCAGGTAAAGTTGAAACAGTGTCCGTCTTTGCAGAAAGAGAGACGAATGAGCAGAGGAGGAGATGTTATACTAGCGTAGTCGGGAAAGGTGGATAGGTTGTTAAAGATTATGGAGAAGCAGAAATGGCGTTAGGGAGGGGAGGAACTGGGGGTGGGTGAATACACACAGGATGAATGTATCCTTGACAGGAGAGCCTCCATCCAAATCAACCATTTGTCACATGTGAGTGTCCACAGTCTTGTCTGCATCTTCACTAGGTGGTGAGAATTCGCTTTCTGATAGTGCAAGACTCCTGCTGAGTCTAGATTATGAGTGTGTGTGTGTGTGTGTGTGTGTGTGTGTGTGTGTGTGTGTGTGTGTGTGT